TTCTCACCTTCGGTGGTCAGACCGCTCTGAACCTGGGTGTGCAGATGAACCGCATGGGCACCTTTGAGCGCTACGGTGTCAAGGTTCTCGGTACCCCCATTAAGACCCTGGAGACCAGTGAGGACCGGGACCTCTTCGCCCAGGCCTTGAACGAGATTGATATTCCTATTGCCGAATCGACTGCCGTCGAGACTGTTGAGGACGCTCTCAAGGCTGCTGAGGAGGTCGGATACCCCATCATCGTCCGGTCTGCTTACGCCCTCGGTGGTCTGGGCTCTGGCTTCGCTTCCAACGCCGATGAGCTCCGTGACTTGTCCTCGCGCTCTCTGTCTCTCTCCCCCCAGATTCTGGTCGAGAAGTCCCTTAAGGGCTGGAAGGAGGTCGAGTACGAGGTTGTCCGTGACGCTGATAACAACTGTATTACCGTTTGCAACATGGAGAACTTCGACCCTCTCGGAATTCACACCGGTGACAGTATCGTTGTTGCCCCTAGTCAGACTCTGTCTGATGAGGAGTACCACATGCTCCGCACTGCTGCCATCAAGATTGTCCGCCACTTGGGTGTCGTTGGCGAGTGCAATGTCCAGTACGCTCTGCAGCCCGATGGACTAGACTACCGTGTCATTGAGGTTAATGCTCGTCTTTCGCGTTCGTCCGCTCTGGCTTCCAAGGCCACCGGTTACCCGCTTGCTTACACCGCCGCTAAGATTGGCCTGGGACACACTCTTCCCGAGCTTCCTAACGCCGTTACCAAGACCACCACCGCCAACTTCGAGCCCAGTCTGGACTACATTGTCACTAAGATTCCCCGCTGGGATTTGGCCAAGTTCCAGCACGTCAACCGTGACATTGGCTCCGCCATGAAGTCAGTTGGTGAGGTTATGGCTATTGGTCGTACCTGGGAGGAGTCCCTGCAGAAAGCCATCCGTCAGGTTGACCCTCAATACCTTGGTCTCCAGGGTGATAAGTTCGATGACCTTGATGAGACTCTCCGCAACCCTACTGATCGCCGCTGGTTGGCCGTTGGCCAGGCTATGCTCCACGAGAACTACTCAGTTGACAAGGTCCACGAGCTGACAAAGATCGACAAGTGGTTCTTGTACAAGATCCAGAATATTGTGGATTGCAACAATGAGCTCAAGGAGATCGGCAGCCTTTTCGGCCTCAAGCAGGAGATCCTGATGAAGGCTAAGAAGCTCGGTTTCTCCGACAAGCAGATCTCTCTCCTTGTTGGTGCTACCGAGGATGATGTCCGTGCCCGCCGTAAGTCCTTCGGCATCACTCCTTGGGTTAAGAAGATCGACACCCTTGCTGCCGAGTTCCCTGCCGATACCAACTACCTCTACACCACCTATAACGCTTCCTCACACGATGTTACCTTCGATGACCACGGAACTATCATTCTTGGCAGCGGTGTGTACCGTATTGGTAGCTCCGTTGAGTTCGATTGGTGCGCTGTTAATGCCACTCTCTCCCTCCGCGAGATGGGCAAGAAGACCGTTATGATCAACTACAACCCCGAGACCTACTCCACTGACTTCGATACCGCTGACAAATTATACTTCGAGGAGCTCAGCTACGAGCGTGTCATGGATATTTATGAGCTCGAGGCCGCTAGCGGCGTCGTTGTCTCTGTCGGTGGTCAGCTGCCTCAGAACATTGCTCTTCGTCTACAAGAGAGCGGTGGTGCTACTATTCTGGGTACCAACCCTCTGGACATTGACAAGGCCGAGGACCGTCACAAGTTCTCCTCTATTCTCGACAGCATTGGTGTCGACCAGCCCGCCTGGAAGGAACTTACCTCTGTCGCTGCTGCTGAGACTTTTGCCGACACTGTTGGTTACCCCGTCCTGGTTCGTCCCAGTTATGTCCTGTCCGGTGCCGCCATGAACGTCATCTACAGTGTCGATGAGCTCAAGGAGAAGCTTCTTAACGCCGCCGCCGTTTCCCCTGACCACCCCGTCGTCATCACTAAGTTCATCGAGGGTGCCGAGGAGATCGATGTGGATGCCGTCGCTTCCAACGGTAAGCTGCTTATCCACGCCGTATCCGAGCATGTCGAGCCCGCTGGCGTTCACTCCGGTGATGCCACCCTCGTCCTGCCCCCCGCCAACATCGAAGAGCCCATCATGGCCCGCGTCAAGGAGATCGCCGAGAAGGTCGCCAAGGCCTGGAACATTACCGGCCCCTTCAACATGCAGATCATCAAGGCCCCTCAGGATGGTGCCGAGCCCGCGCTTAAGGTTATTGAGTGTAACCTGCGCGCCTCCCGCTCCTTCCCCTTCGTCAGCAAGGTCTTGGGTACCAACTTCATTGACGTCGCCACTAAGGCTCTCGTCGGCCGTGATGTCCCCGAGCCCGTCGACCTCATGAAGGTGAAGCGTGACTACCTCGCCACCAAGGTTCCCCAGTTCTCCTGGACCCGTCTGGCTGGTGCCGACCCCTTCCTGGGTGTCGAGATGTCCTCCACCGGTGAGATTGCTTGCTTCGGTAAGGATCTGGTCGAGGCCTACTGGGCATCCCTCCAGTCCACCATGAACTTCCGCATGCCTGAGCCCGGTGAGGGTATCTTGCTCGGCGGTGATATCACCCAGCCCTACCTGGCCAAGATTGTCGAGTACCTGAACCCTCTTGGCTACAAGTTCTTCGCCGTCAACTCCGAGGTTAAGGCTCACCTCGAGTCCGCCAAGGGTGTCTCTGTGCAGGTGATTGAGTTCCCCAAGAAGGACAAGCGTGCTCTCCGTGAGGTGTTCCAGAAGTACGACATCCGTGGCTGCTTCAACCTTGCCAAGACCCGTGGCAAGACCCAGCTGGATGACGACTATGTCATGCGTCGCAACGCTGTCGACTTCAACGTGCCTCTGTTCATGGAAGCTAAGGTATGTTTAATTTGCTGTACCCATAATGATACAAGTTACTAACTTATCCTCTCTACAGACTGCCCAGCTCTTTGCTCAGTGCATGAACGAGAAGCTCCCCCGTACTGAGGGAATTCCCTCCGAGGTCCGCACCTGGTCCAACTTTGTCGGCGGCAAGGCGCTGTAAAATCTCTATTTCTTTTTGCACAAAGTGACAGATGAAGAGAAAAAAAAAGCCCCCACCATGTCGAGGTAAAGAGAGACAGGAAGTCAACATCTCTTTCCGCTCGATATCCCCTATGACCTACCCAGGTCGTCCCGTCATGATTTTCCAAGGACAGGAACTAATAGTTCTGTATGGTGTAGTGGGTAGGGCAATCTTGTTGATAGATGGCGTGCATTGTCTTTTCGGCCTTTTTAATTACTGTACTCTCGGATCGGAATGTCTTTTCCTTATGAATGATTGAATTGTTCCCCATCTCTACTCTCTACTATACTTGCGAATCAACAGTGGCGTAGCCCTCATATGCCACTGATATACGAATTTGACCTTCGATTTAAAGTTAGTCCGAACGGTTAGACCTCCGATGAAACTAGACTTCGCTGGCTTAAAAGCTCTTTATTCCGACGACTTCTTCGCGTACGAAGGGGGGATGTCGACTTTTAATACTCGACGGACATAGAAGCCATTTAATCCTAAAATTCGATGACATTTATGAGCGAAATAAGGTGATACCGATCTATATGCCACCTCACTCCTCTCGCCCTTTATAACCTCTCGATATTAGCTGTTTTACGGTATTAAAATGATTATATAGTCGGCTAGTTAAGACGAAAATGCGGAATTTTTAACCGTATCGATAAACTTAACTTCCTGGAAGTATACCTACTCCATCGCACGAATTAAAGCCTTCAAATCGGAGACTATTAAAAATAACTTCGGAGCAGCTGGTTTAGTACCTTTTAAACCCAATCGAGTGATCTCGAAGCTAAATATTCGTCTTCGAACACTAACCCCCTCCGAGCCGGGGGAGCGAATTAAGCCGGAATTTTACACTAAAAACACTAGCTATAGAGAAAGAACTACGTCGATAGGCTTCGTTAATCAAAGCTTTACTTCGTATAAGATCTCGAAGTCTACTAAGCCCATCAGATCGTGCATTAAACCAGCTTATAAAGGGCGTACGTCTTATAATGTAAGGTGCTATCTTACTCGCTAAAGAAAATAAGGAATTACGCGCCGCTAACGAGAAGCAAAAGTAAAAGCGGGCTAGATCCCGGAGGCATATACCCTCCGAAGAAGGTCTCTCAGTTAAAGAAACCTCTGCATTAATTATGCAGCAACAGGAAGTGAAGCACCTCCCCCCGGACCCGGCATACCTGGAGAATCGGCTATTCAGCCATGTACGCGGCCCCCCGGGGGTGTGGAATATGTAGATTGCCAGGGCATAGAAGAGAAACATGTCCAGATAGACCACTTAGTTAAGTTAATCAATTTAATGGTGTTATGGTTGGGATAAATGGATTTAAATAATGTAGACTGGTAACTAGTGGCGGCTCGCTTGTGGTGCTTGTGAAATACGTTACTCGGTGCATATGCCCAGGGCCCGTAAGGGTAGATTCAGGGGCGCAGTAGCCTTGCTGGCACATACTAGCGGGGCTTGAGCCTCCATGTGGGCGCCAATTAGAAGAAGGTCGATGTCTCACTTGGGCTCTGATAGCAATTTTTGCCGGCCCTTACGATCAATCGTAATCCAAGCTTCATTTATCTTTTAGCCTTTATTTCCCCACTGGTTATTGCCTTTAACTTCTTCACTTTCAACCTACATCGCCTATCTAGGTCATTGCCGATGTTTATAGGCCTCTAGGTCTCCAAAGTTTACTTCAACTTGTCTTGGGGTTTTCATCACTCTTGAGCCAAATTACATGTCACCGCTAGGCTCCAACTGCTAGTACATTATAATGTAGCGCTAGTACGGCTGAAGCCCGTGACTCTTTTTGGGGAGCCTGTTGAGGCTAGTCGCGACGCAGACTCGGCGGTTTGGTTTTTTTTCCCTCTTGCTTCCTGACTCATTTTCCTCTGCTTAATCCCATTTCTCTCTGTTTTTACACTGATATCACTCATCTTCGAATATCGCAAACATGCGCCCATCTTGGTTCCTCGTTTCTACCTTAACAGCTCTGGCTGCAGCCGATGAGGCCGGCACAACAGTTATCAACTATTTCGGAGTCGCGGATCCTGTTAACGGCTTCGCCCTCGGCGACTACACCAGCACCGTAGCTCGAGTTGTTGCCATTGGCAAGTACGCCACGACCTACGAGATAGCCTGCCTGAAAGACGCATCTCAATGCGGATTGCACCATCCTGCAACCATTGTCCAGGGCCCTACCACTTACAGCGCCTCTATCGAAGTCACTGAGTCTACCGGCGGTGCTGAGGCTGTTGCAACCGGCATCGAGCAATGTAGCTTCACCCGCGTTTCTGAGTCTGTTGTCTGCATGTGGAGTGTTGCATACACTGCCTCGCAAGGTGATATCACCATTTCCGATTCCTTCTCTAGCACACAGTCCATCCCTGCGTCTTCGGTTAGCTATCATCCTCTTACTGTCACTGATGGCGTCTACGCTTTGACGGGTGATGCGACGGCTTCGGTCTCTGGCGTGAAGGTCACTCCTACCGCTTCTGGCATGAAGGTCACTCCTACCGCTTCTGACGTGAAGGTCACTACTACCGCCTCTAGTGGGGATGCGGCGGCTTCGGCTTCTGGCGTGAAGGTCAATCCTACTGTTTCTAGCGGTGCCGCTGCCGGTGCTGCAAAGCCTTTGATTACTGCTGCGCCGCTGGGTGCTGCTGCTCTTGCGGCTTTTGCGGCTATGATCTAGAGCTTGAGCTTGGTTCTTTTCATGTCTGATGGTTAGTTGGTTGGGGATTGAGTCCCTGGGTCTATGCACTTGAATGAGCTATGCTATATATATGCCTAATAATTTACTCAACTCGTAGTTTCGGATCTGATTTTCTCGAGCTACAAAACCTTTGAAACCTTTGAATTTTGACCCAATTTGTATTTCTGCTTAGAAGAATTTGTAGTTCTCCGGCATCTATGCAGAATTTGATTGCCTGCATTCATATCTACATCACCATTTTGCATACAGATAGAGTGGACTTCCAGCTTAGGTTGAACTCTCTCTCTCTCTCTCTCTCTCTCTGTGTGTGTGTGTGTGTGTGTGTGTGTGTGCCCGCTTTCATCCCTGGGCTTGGCTTGTATAATGTAGGATAGTAGCCACTACAGTGACAAAAATAAAAAGCTTGGCAAGTAACTTCTAATTAGTATGCATCTAAACCACCAGAGAAATTTCAGGATCTTCTGATGAAACTGCTCTTTGTATGTGAGAGATTCTATCAATCCTCTCTCAATGCCAAGAGATTCAAATAGCATGACGAATATTCACCGCCCCACGTGGACGATTATCCACTCTGATCGTATATCTTCAAACAAGTCTTATTATCATAATCAGATCATACACAATGGCATCAAGAACTGCACTACCTTCGGTGACGACTAGGACCGTCCCACAGTCTGCCCCCAATGGCATGGGGAATGGCCTGTTTGCGACAACTGACATCAACCCCGGTGAAGATGTTTTGCACATCAAAACACCATTTGTGGCGGTTCTTGATTCTCCACGTTTAGAGGACACATGTGCTGGCTGCTTCGGAAAGAGACAGATGGAAACTGGAAATGAGTTGAAGGCTTGCACGGGATGTCGTGTCGTTAAATATTGTGACCGGGTGAGTTGCTATGACGATAGATCATTTGCTGTTTGATATTTCTCGTCCTACCCAAGACTATGTCTCATTTGATCTTTTAAGCTTCTAATGCTTGATTACTAGGCGTGTCAATCTAAGGACTGGAAGTTTGCGCATTCTCTTGAATGCCCCATCTTCAAAAATGTCAAACCCATGGTGCTTCCCAATAATGCCCGTGCTCTTCTACGTATAGTGCTGCGCACTGCACGTAACAAGTACGATTCTGAAGAGACCAAGGTCTTTGATGGCTTGGAAACTCATATCAATGAGATTTCGGAGAGCCAAGGCCAGCTTGATAGGATTAACTTGACAGCGAGAGCTGTCAAGAATTACTCAGGCACGGACATTGATGAAGGAACTGTCTCTACTTATGCTGCAAAGGTAATTTTCTCAGTCTTGCACCTCTTGACTCGCGAGACTTTTCATCTAACTATCATTTCAAGTTGGATCTCAATTCCTTCAACCTCACCACTTCTATGTATGATCGCATTGGCCTCTACATGCATCCATATGCCGGGTTGATTAATCACAGCTGCGACTACAACTCCACCGTTGGATTTGACGGTGAAGAACTGTACGTCAAGGCTATGCGCTCCATCAAGAAGGGCGAGCAAATATTCATCTCCTACATCGATACCACAACACCATACGACATCCGTCGCAATGAACTGAAAGAACGCTACTTTTTTGACTGCCAGTGCACAAAGTGCGAGAATGGAGCGGAAACAATTGAAGATCGGTTCTTGTCTACACCTGAAGACATGACGCCTCTAGAGACAGCAGAGCGCGAAGCCCTGGAGCTCATGCAAAAAGCAACCGCAACCAGTACGGAGCCAGCAGACGCAATCGAGAAGCTGGAAGCTGCTATGCATAAGCTCCATGAAACCTCCATATGGCCTCTCACCCGTCAGCCATATGCTTCTCTCCGCGATAAGCTGATCATATCTCTGCTGACGGCTGGTAACTTCACCCGGGCATTCATCCACGCTGTGATTAGATACCTGCGGATCGATCCTGTTGTCTATGACAAGGCTCACCCCATCCGACACATTCATGCATGGAGCCTAGTCAGGCTTACAGTCTTCATTTCCCAGGAGGGCTTCCAACCTGACCCCAAAGACCCTGTCCAGCTTCATGACTTCAAGCTGAACTATCACTACTTGATTTGGTATATTCTCGCTGAACTTACTAGCACGCAGTCGGAGAGCTGCACTGTGCCCAGCTTTAAGAAGCTTGTTGGAAATCAATTTGTACAGGTTCACAATGAGTTCAAGGCCAATGGCCTTGATCCTAGCAAGAACAAGGCTGTTCTGTCTGCTGAGTGGAACAAGCTTGAACACCTTGTCAACAAGGCTCTAGAGAAAGAGTGAAGTACTCTGAGGTCCATTGTTTATTTTACTCAAAATTTGATACTACCACATGGCCAGGCTTACTGGGATAGATCGACCACCCTATATAACAAAAAGTAGTCACCAGGTCTCTCATCTCTTATGCCCGAAATAGCAGGAACGATCCGAAGTTGATGCCGATTGTACACCCACTTCACCCAGCCGGTCGACCCTTCAGACAGGCTGGGGACTATATAAATAACTCCCAGCCCTTTTCTCTTCTCTTCTCTTCTATTCGCCTCCACGTTCGTCTTCGTTTTTCATTGCCGGCAAAAGCAATTCGATACCGCGAACAACTGGCAAATGAATGCCTTTGAGATGGCTTCCTTGACCAACTGGTCCATGGAGAATGGACCTCCAAGCCGCCGCTCCACTGGTGAGGGTCGTGCCGCCCCCGAGACCAATAGCTCCCCCCACTACGGGGGCAGGTGTCGGGCTGCATCCCCCCGTATTGCCGCCATTAGGACCCCGGTGATTTCCCCTGGTTACCAGCAGATCCCGGGGTACGGAGCCCACCGTCAGCGACAGGAGGCTCGCGCGCTTATGGGCTCGATTGCGGAGCGCCGGGGAAAGAACATCCCCGCCCTAATCTTAATCCGTGGCGATGTGCCTAGTCCCCTGTCGCGCCGACAACGTTGGTAAGTCACTTTTATTTCATTCTTACTCCTTGCAGATTTCTCATGTCTTCACTTCAACATGTTCTCGCTTTATTCTCACTTCTTTCTTACTTCACATGTTCTACCTGGAATGAACTTTGTTTTACTTCGTTTGGGTTGGACTCAGCTGACTTTTGATTCTGATAGGGTCCCTGGGTGCCGCTTATGCCGGTACCTTTGCCGGAGCCAGAGCTCAGCAGTTAGCCAATGAGCGAACTCGGACGTCATCTGGGGGAGCTTTCTGCTGGTGCTTTTGGTGAAGACGGTAATGGGGGTTTCTGTGGTATGGGATTTGGTTCTTAAGGGGCTGGCTGCCCATTGATGAGACTTATCTCTGATTTAGTCTTCAGTTCTGGATGCTAACATTTTGACATACAGGTATGATTGCTTTAAGTTCTGCTCTCCGGATCTGACCACCGGGTACGAGCTCATCAAGTGGTGAATTTATCTCTTCCGCATATAACTCGATTCCAACAGCTAATTCATCGATGTACAGTTGGAGTTGCTATTTATTTCCAAGTCTTGGATTGATCTCCATACGAGCTGCACGTGGAATGGTAAGCCTAATCTCTCCCATCTATTTTTCAGTCTCTGATTGTCAAAGACCAAGGTCGCCTCTTCACCGTGTGATATCACCTTCCATTATTGCCAGCCTTCATACGCGAGTACCCATGCACTATCCTCCTTTCGATGCCCCGCCCTCTTATACCCTATAGCAGTTCACATGTGGGACTGCCGAGGGCTGTGATGCTCTTGCAACGTGTAGCCCGGATATTCTCGAGGAAGGTCTGAACGGACCGAAGTTTTTGACAATCCGTTGATGATTTGTCGACAATTGAGAGGAACTCCGAACACTTCCATCCATATCGACTGCTGTGGGTGTGACTTACCGCCTACACAACTCCCAGTTGTATGTTGGATCAAGCACCAAAAGTCTTCTGGGCGCTATGTTGATCATGGTATTCTATCCAAGCAAATTGAGGGCATCAATTTACCCGATGGTCGACATTTACCTAATGGTAAGAGGGTGATGTATATTTAATGCTATGCCAACATGTATGGGCTTGTGTCATCGTACAGGCAGATTGCAATTTTTCCAGAGAATCTAGCGATCGATGTTCCATATGCGGATACGAAATTTCTATTTCGCCTGCTTGAGCAAAGGCGACTTCGGACTCGAGAGAGAAATTCCACCTCCCACCAAATATCCGTTTGGATGCAGTTAAATCTATCAAGTGTGATCAAAGTAGAAGACTTTATCTGAGGAAATTCCGAGGCCGTCAAACCTCGGCTGCACCCCATTTCTTCACCCTCTTTCGACACCACGTGAATCCTCTTTTGGTCAGAACGCCAATTCGAGGGCATTTCTACCGCGTGACCTGTGCCTCTTCTGGCTCTATATGTATTTCGCCAAATAAAAATATTATCACTGTTCCATCTATCCTGATCGTAGGTTTTGAATATAGAACAGGAGGCTGCTTTGTTGTATACATTCCATGTTCAGTTTCTACAACCTCAGTAGGTGAGAGCGAAGCCCTAATTTTTTTTAGCAAATGTACAATTGAATTTTTTTCTAAGCTTTCCGTGAACACCAGTCGACCAGATTACCTTCGATGTTTTGAAATAGGTTCCAATTTACATGGCCGTCGGGAATAGGCAAGATTGCCCGGATGAGCTTGATCCTTTTCCCATCTAATATCCCATATGACAACATTCAAATTTATAATATCATGTCCATCTACTAATATTGATAAATACAGGAATAGAAGGCAAAGAATCAATCACGCACACAAAGCTGCTCATATATACAGTGTACAAAACTCAAGTCATAAAATGTATCACATCAGACTTGTTCGACCTCCAATCTCATTGGCAGCCTCGCCGTTAGGCATCTCGCCATTTCGGCCCGCGATAAACTCACGGTAAATTCCCTCGAGACGTCTACGCTCTGCAGGGGGAAGAGAACCACGCGTCGTAGCCAATGAGCGCTCGACATGTTCCCAGCGGACGATGATATCCTCACGCAGCTCGTCTGCATCAGGCTCAGTGCCGTTAGCCACCGGGGCCGCGGCGTTGTTCGCACCGGTAGGTCCCTGCTCGAGCTGGCGCTGGCGGCGACGCGAGTTTTTAATTGCCTCCAGTTTGGCTGCGATCACTGCTGGGGCTGGCATGGAGACAGACCCGGATGCTTCTTCCGAAGAAGAGTAGAGGAACTGGATAAAGGATTTGCTAGAAGCACTGGCGGTGTTGGACTTGGCACCGGGCTTGGCTGTATCAGTAGAACGGTCACCAAGCGCACTGTGGACTGCCTCTAGATGGGCGTTGTACACGACAGCCTGCAGATCTGCACCAGAGAATCCATCGGTCTCGGTGGCAATATCACCAAAGCGAGAGGTGACTTCGTCACTCATCTTGAGCTTTTCGCTCACTGAGCGGATGATATCAACACGGTCTTCGTGGGTTGGCATGCCACAAAGCAAGGACTTGTCGAGACGGCCAGGACGAAGGAGGGCAGGATCGATCAGGTCTGGCCGTGACGTTGCTGCCAGCACATAGACGCCGGAGAGGCCTTCTGCGCCGTCCATTTGTGTCAGAAGCTGGTTGACAACACGGTCCGTAACTCCAGTGGAGTCGTGACCACGCTTCGGTGCGATACTGTCGAACTCATCGAAGAAGAGGACGCAAGGGCGAGCGGCTTGGGCTCTCTCGAACAAATCACGAACACTCTTTTCACTGGCTCCGATATATTTGTTCAAAATCTCGGGACCCTTGACACTGATGAAATTCAATCCACACTCGCCAGCCACTGCGCTGGCCAGCATTGTCTTACCACATCCAGGGAATCCATAAAGAAGCAAACCAGACCGCAGTCGCAATGGGCACTGTGCAAAGATCGGGGCATATTTTGTAGGATACTGCAAAGTTTCCAACAGCATTTTGCGAGTTTCAAACAAACCACCAACAGAGGAAAATGTGGTTGTTGACGAGGTAAGAGTGACGTTTCGAAGAGATGCCGGAGTAAAGTCCTTCAAAGCACTTTCAAAGTCCTCTAGCCCGAGAGTGATCATCTTTGATGTGGCTGTCAGATCTGAGACAGAGCGAATGAGAGCCTCATTGCGCGCACGAGCAACAAGTAGCACAAGATCACCAGGCATATAGCCATCGGTTTTGCCAGCCAGCTCTAGATACTCGACATCCCTTCCAATAACAAAGCCATCACCCCCAGAAGAGCTCGGTCGGCTCCCCGGGTTTGAAGGGTCCAGCCATGAGTCTTGTGTTGAGGAGCTTGTGGCCCTCATATGTCCGTTTGAGATTTCCGTAGGTTTATCCTCGCTAGTAAGCTTTTCCAAAACCCTTCGGCGTCCTTCCTTGTCAGGTGCTCTCATATTGATGATCTCACGGACAACGTGGCCGCCGATGATAACATTATTGAGGGATTCCTTGGCCTGGGCAGTGGCCAGTAGCACAACAGAGGAGTTCAACGCACAATATTCTCGAACCATAGAGCAGATAACCTCGCTATTCTGGCGACTGCGGCCATTGTCTCCGCCCACTTGCAATTCAGTCTCCGCTGGGCAAAGCTTGTCTAGATCTTCGAGGATCACGACTGACTGGCCACCAAGACGCGCACACCATGATGCGGACATGAAGAGCCGGTTCAGAGTCTCTTTGATGTTGGAGATACGTGTTTCGTCTGTGACGAGCTTGCGACAGGAGAAATACTTAACATTGAAGAGGTGATCTCGTCTTAGGCGATGGGCCAGTAGATGGGTAAGAGCTGTTTTTCCAGCCCCAAGTCCACCAGTAAGCAGAATAGACGAGGATTTTGTTAGGTTATTCAATGACTGCTCAATGATAGAATCAATTCCTACCAATTGAGGAGCAGTTTCTGGGAGAGGGTCTTCCATAGGTAGCACAGATGAACTAGGGTCAAATGGCTTAGGGATTTCAGCTTGGACTTCCAGGTTCAGCTTAGCTTCTGAGCCGAGCAACCACCCGAACATTGACTTTGTTTCGTCTGGAGCCCCCTTCAAGGGGGGATCAAAACGAAGGATAGCACCATCGAACGAAGAGACTGAAGGATGATACTCGGATTTGGGTATAATCATTCCATCGGTCAATGGCCCCGAGAACAGCCCGGTGTCGGACCCAGTGCTGCCGTAGATGACTTTGAGGCGCTCGGCTAAGGCATCCCGAGATGCCGCAGTGTCAGCGCCGAACTTCAACCCGTCCTTCTTCTTTGAAGCATCGCCTATGAAAGGATAGACTTTGAGGGTCTTGACTGCGGAGCGGTGCAGCTGTGGGGGCGCTGCTTCGACTCGGAGGATTCCTCCAACCATGTTCTCCGCACCAAGGGCCGTGCATAACAAGGTGGACATCGCCGCATGCCGATTGTCCGGAGCCTCCTCCCACGGAAGTAACTTGGCCACGAGCTTGGCTGTAGTGGAACCAGCATCATTGGACTTTTGCTGTTCAGCTTGAGCAAGTTGCTGTTGGGGATCTGGTGGGGGTTTGAGACCGGATGGCTGGACTACTGACACGCAAGCCCAAGTCGCTCCGCGCAGTTCATGGCTAGCCAGGAGGTCCTGATCAACCCAAATACGGAGGCCATCATTTGCATCATCTTCTATTTCTCCATCAAAATATTGAGTGGTCGCTGAGCGGTCCACGCCTCTCAAGTAGAGGGAGCCTCGCGTGCTGCCACTCTTCTGGCGTACAGTGCTTGAAGCACTCCTGCCCCCAGCACTCTTCCTGCTGCTACCAGCTGCACTCCGGCTATCCGCTCGAGAGCTTTTGCTTGTCTTGGATCGAACTTTCGGGGCCACTATGACTTCTGCATCCGGCGCGATCTTGGCGAAGGGGGAGGCGTCTGAGGGAGCGGGTGTAAGAGAAGTGACGACAATATTGGCAGTAGATGTGGGAGATAGATGCAATGCAAGTGGGTGCATATGCACCGATTGCGCTGCATTGTATGTAGGATTGGGT